TGCAAGTCTTAAAAACAATGATCAGATATCCAGTCTCATGAGTATCAGATCAGAAACACTTAAAGAGCTATCTGGCTATTTAACATTTTTTCCCATTATTAAGATGATTGTTAATCTAGACACCTTCCCAGTACTATTAAAACAGAGGATCATAAAATGTGCATGTCTATGAAGAAAAAAAAAACACTTAACAGAAAATTATTCGTCTCTACCTGAAAGTACCCTGCCAAGGACAATTTTAAATTCTTTTATTATTTTTTTATTTTTATAAAAAAATTATCTAAACAAAATTAAAGAAATCCTCTCAAAAATACAAGTTGTTTCATGCGGAAGGGCATTATTTAAACCACGCATTTTAGGCCCTAAAAGAACCCTAGTTTGCGATATAAACGATAGCCCAAAAATTCTTCAATACCGATTTACAGGGTGTTGAAATTTAATTTAAAAAATGAAAAATGCTAAATTTCTTCAAAACCCATGGAGATATTTTAACGAAATTTTCCAGGAATCAATAGCTAGGGACGATTTGCCAATGGCGTGATTACCTGTATGCTACCGAATATGTTTTAAAAAAATGGTACGCTTCTGTATTTTTTATTACTTCAATTAATTTTCAAATTCCCTGTTCTACCACAAATTAAAAATATTTCTTACATTTTTACTAAAGTAAGATTTGTGGTAAGTGGGGTCACATTTATAAAACCACATGAGAACCACCGATTAATTTCTCATCTCATAAATCTCTGTCAGAGCTCATCTCATAAAAAGAGTCGATAAGTGTGTGGAGAGCGAAGCTTTAGTTTTTCAATGCTTGTGAGTGTAATTCTGTATTTTTATTGATAGTAAAAGAGTCTACCTTTTGAAATATTTCATTATTTTAATCAACTTTAGCCACGAGTTATGAATGCGTTACAGACTACAAGAAGGCACGGGCCAGCAAATGATCAATTAATAATTTTTGTAAAACACTGGCATCTGGGTGTTTATCTACTCCAATAGAAACGGGTGTTCGCATGTAAATGTGCCCAATTAGGCCCACCTACAATAAATCTTACTTTATGATCCTAACCGTTTGTGGTAGCAAAAAAAAATGTAGTTTGTAATAAAACAAGGAGTTTGAAAAGTAGTTGAAATTAATAATAAAAAACACAGTGGCGTGCCATTTTTTTCTTATCAATTTCGGTAGTGTAAACGTACGCACACCACTCTCAAAATTTAACAAAATTATGTTATTGCGAAATATGCGTCTTCCCTAGCTATTGATCACTGGATAATTTAGTTAAAATATCTCGATGCGTTTTCAAGACATTTACCATTTTGCATTTGTAAATTAAATTTCAACACCCTGTAATTCCATAACGAAACATTTTTAAGACGTATAATATGTGATTGAAATAATGCCCCTTCCTCATGAAACAGTTTGCTTGTTGTAATTTTGGATAAACAAAATTGGTTAAAGGAGAACAAGAGGCAGCGCTGCCAATTAATTCAAAAGAACCATGCCTGAGGCTTTCTTAGACTTCAGTAACGCTATTGACATGGTTTACCAGAAAAACATTGGATTTAATCAATTACCTATAGGAAACAACTTAAATGAACAGGGTGGTGGTTTGTTTTTTGGGGTTAATTGCAGTGCTTCAGGTCATAGGACTCTTTTTTCTTTGGGGGATATTAATGGTGTGTTCACAGCATATACAGGGTGGCACAGGTTAAACATCGTTACATGACTGTAATAGATGAAAGGGCATACAAAGTCAACTCGTTAGTACACTTTGCTAGCACATGTGTCCTAGCAGCGTAGCATATACAATGAGTTTCACGAATTTCACAATACAAATGCAGCGAACTTAATAATAAAATAGTTCTTATAAGACAAAGGCTAAAATAAGAACAGGAGAAAGTTACGAAACATGTCGCTAGTTTTCTCTGCTAGTTGTGAATATCAAACTTAATTGTCTTAACTTAATAAAATAATTGTTTTTCAAATAAATAATGTTTTTACTTGACAACACTTCCAAAGTATAGAACCACGAAGTTATCACAAATTAATAATTATTTTATTAACATTGGTGATTTTCCATAAACTCGAAAAATTAAGAAATTAGTGAAACACTTTTTAAGTTATGAAGATTAAAAACTATCGTGTTGGCTCGAATGTATGAAACGCCCACCTAAAACACTTGTTCACTTCTGTATTTTGCCGTTTTCTTCCTTCGATTTTAAAACAGACCGTTGAATAGTAAACCAGGTAGATAAACCGGTTTGCAATTTAAAAAAAAATTCTTAGTAGTAATATTTGGTCGCATTTATTTACGGTTTCTACGCAATTTGAAACTATTAGGTTTCAAAGGTGTAAGTAAATAAGTATGTTTCTTTTAAGTTCCGCAATATAAAATTGTTATTGTCAGGACATGAGCCAATCGTCGGGCTTATAGTACCATTTCAGTTATACTTAGTCATATATGCATGATGATCTACAGTTCAAATACTTTATATGATAAACTCTTCAGTGCACATGAATCATTTCGGCATTGGAATATTCCCTGGAAATTGTCAATAATGTAAGCTTGCTGTAAGTGTTATCAATTAGAGAGAGGAGTAGCTTTCTTACATCCAATGAATACACATAATGTGCTTCTAAAATTTTATTCGGCAATAACTGACGTAATTGAGCCATCAAGTTAGTACTACCTCTACTTTTATGGCTGTTTGGCGTATGCTATACTTAGTATGGTAAACGAAGTATTTTTTCATATGTCACACATTTCCATGGGTCAATCTACGATTGTACACATTAATGTTATTAGAATAGATCGCAAAAAAAGCAAATAAACACAGTTATATTGATTAATGATGTGATTATAAATTCATTGTTCTAAGTGTCCAGCGTTTAATTTTTCATTGTTTTTATAAAATACCTTTATTTTTAATTTTGTTACTGTAGTACCGTTGAGTTTGGTTTACTTAAATTCTTCCTCATCTTCAATGAATAACCACAATTTTGGTAATAACGCTAATAGTGCAAATAATCCTAGCTATTTAGCTATAGGTGGTTAATATTGTGGCAAATGCGATTGTTCAGAGCATTTCTATTTAGTTCAAATCAGAAGGAAGGTCAGTTTTAGTCAAATTACTGCTCCACATTTCTGGTCTGAATATTCTTCAAGAGTACATTTTTTTAGTCACTTCTTGAAAGGTGAGAAATAATATCTAAAGTTTACTAATGCTGTGTCGTATTTGCAATAATTCATACTTTATTTTTATGTAAGTTTAATAGTATTTTCGTGAGAATCAACCGTTAAGATTTCGAAGCAGAACTTTATCCGGATTTGTTAAATGCACTGGACTGCTTAACGGTTATTTTTCTGGAACATGTTACAACGTTGCAGTATTACTTTGGTATTAAGTTTCAAAATGTGGTTCCAAAAGTAACATGTTACTTTTTAAATTTTTCTTTACAAATTCACAATTATGATGGTAGAAATAGTGATGATAAATAACGATCTAGTTTATTTAAAAAAAAATTCTTAGCATTGGTAAACTAAAAATAATATATTCTAAAAACAAAACATGGGTCATAAGTAACTACTTAAAGAACAAAAAAAACTGATAATAAAATCGAATGGTTTAAATAAAATATAGCGAAGCCTTGCGTGCGAAAATGTTTAAAAAGCTAATTTTCATTTAAAAATGAATTGATATTTAAAAATATTTTTTTTGCGTACGCTTTTTATTAAGTCTAGTGCTTCGCTCGTTTATGATAGCACCCGCTTTGGAAAATAATCTTTCTCATGGAACAGAAGTATTAATATACCTGTGTTTTTTTGTTCTGAAACAAGTTTGTCAAAATCTGGTAAAATTGAGTAATCTTCTTCTTGTCTATATTTTAACTGAACTTCCTCTGATTGATGGGGCACCACAGTTTCTGTAAAGGCATTTGAATTGCATCGGTCGTGTCGCATCGGTTCTGTGTTGGTGCGAACCACTCACTTTTTCGGATTTGGGACCGTTCCAAAAACAACCGGTCAAATTGGCAAAGCGTAAGGAACTGGATAGATGGCTCGATGGATGGTTGAATTGTCAAAGTGTAACTCCTGTTCAGGTTACACGTTTGGATTTTAGTGGTTACGTTAAATATCGGCCCTAGCTGGACAACGATACAAAACACAAATTGTTTCAATCGCAACAATAGAATATATTTTTTCTATGCATCTTATGTGATTTATTGAATATATATAAGTACAGGTTTTCAGGTAAAACTTTTCGGGAATCAACCAACAAAAGATGAACTTGTAGAAGGAAAAATCAAACATTAAAAATTATCGGAATAAAACGTTACTAGAAAAGCAGGTTAAGGAAGTGATATAGTTTAAATATAAAGGAGAATTGCACTCTGACACATATGGCAAATCTCTATTCTAATTCATCCTAATTTAATCAAAAATTCAGATCAGCTTAATCTTACATTACTTATATTTTATTACTCCCATTCTAAATCTGTAAAACACTATGATGCAACTCCTGCATAGGCTGATAAAGCATTGTTTTTAAACTATCTTTAGAGATCCTTGATAATATAATAATCTGACGTAATTTGCTAAAACAATTCCAAATGATTCCCTAACACCCATAAGCACCGCATTATTGTTCGTGGAGTCGCACGTTCCTTTATTAGCACTACAAACGATTATTTTGGTTATCCGAGTTTTTACTAAATTTTACCCTTTTGATTAAGCCCCTTTTATTGTGAATTGATTTGTAAAATATTTCCATATGTTATGATGACCCAGTATTACCTACACAATCTAGCCTTAATATTCATTGAATCTTTGTAATAAATTCACTTTCAGCGCATTTGAAAAATCACTTATATCTGGTATAACTTGACCGCACCTGGTATAGGTATGTAAAACATTTAAAACTTGTTTTCCTTTTTGGTTTTTATGTTTATACAAATACATTTTTGGTCAATACATATTGTGAACAAATATCTGATAAAATTCTCATTACCCACCAGCTCAGTGTAGTGCCACGCCGTACTTTTGTGTCTTCGCTTGACCAGCATTTACTCCTAAAAATTAATTTGGGGATTAAATCTACAATTTTCTGTTTTTTAAAGACTTGTAATCTTCTGACGTACCGCTGGCGGATTGTACCTTAACAAAGAGCTAGAATATCTGGCGTTTTACTAGGCGGTGAATTTGTGTTCGATTAATTTCGGGAAGTACTAATCGTGATTTTTGTTTTAAAACATTGTCTTCATATTAAAATCGGCGTTAAACTGGAATTTTAGCAAAACATATTTCGTGTCCTATCCTAATTTAGTAGTTGGGTTCCAAGATGGCGAAAACGCGACGCGGAAACCACTCGAAAGAGGTACTAACTTCTAACGATTATAATCAGCAGAAGGTCAAATCTGCTGATGAAGCGGTTCTTGAATTTGGCTGTGAAAAGCTCCAGGAAAGGGTTAGAACCAAGAAAGTGACTTGGAGTAAGTCCTTAACTAAGTGTGATGCAAATAATCAACAACTAATCGTCATAATTGTTTTTCTCTAAAATCATATTTGATGGATATTAGCTAGGAACGTTCAATGTCTGCCATGCTGTCTGCTGTTCAATTCACAATTTTATTTAATATTTCAATTGTCGTCACTAGTAAAGAGACTGTATTAATTGTAATTAATTTGAAATGTCACCAATTTAGTAAACTCCGCGAGCGGGGTTGAATGTATTGCTTTAAGTTTCATTTTTATCAGATTCCAATTAATCTAGAACCTTTATTGCAAATTCAACTATAAAAACATTTATCTAAAAGATACCGGTATTTACAAATCTACTTATCAATAGTCATTTTGATAAAATCATATTGTTGTAGTTCTTTGTTGCCATTATTTGTTAATTCCCTTAATATAATGCATATAATGAAATCAGAATTCCCAATATAATCTCTTCTTGTCTGCACCTTTTAGCAAATAGTTCTATTTCTATAACCCTATTTCTTTGATTTTGTGCTACCTGAGATTTACACAAAACTTTTTAGGTGATGAAAACATTCAAAATATGAGTGTTGGCGAAATCGACCGTGCTATTATTTGTGTTCAGGAGAGAGTGATGATTAAGTATTCGAAGGAAGATCTTTTGGAGATTGGCAAGAGTCCACTGTCCAAAGCAAAGCCGGACTTTTTGGATCCAAACGAAGTGTATGTCAATTTTACCGTTCTCTTGCTTTTCCGGTTAAATAGCGATTAATTGCCGAACTAAAAAAGTTGTTTTAGAATTCTTGAAATAGTATTTGAAATTCCATAGAAACCATTGAAGCAGGTAATATTTTTACAGCTGTGTTTCTATCCTTGATCCTGACAAATGGAATCTAGAAAGAAAGAAATCAGATACTCCGGACACTGGATCTAAAAGTAATGAAAATGGCGAAACAAGGGTATGTACAAATATTGCAGTGCTATGTATTTTTCTTTGAACTCTTGCATATTTCACAGAGACGTTCGGGAGATCCACGAGAACGCATTCGTAAAGAAAATGATGGGATTGTGCTTAGTCCACAGAGAAGGAGCTTCAACTCTGGTTGCTTTGTTCCTGCCAATAAAGAACCTTTGGGTGGGAAAACCGAGCCACCATCTCATCTTATAGGTGCGTTCATAGTCTGTAATTCTGATGTTCAGGTGTTATTAACTCGCACGTTGAGTGTTGTATGTATTCTTATAAGTTGCTGCAAATTCAAATTTAATATTTATGATTAACCCAAATTTATTGATTGTGATATAACTTTAGCTCACTATTTTGTAAGCATATACCTTTTTTTCGTAAAAGTTAACCATTCAAGACTGAAATGCTGCACACACGGTCTAGGGCGTAATATGCAATGTTTCATTTAAGGTGTGCGAGATATACCTTCTACTACTAGGCGTATTGGTAGTGGTCGTATAATGAGAGATTGGCCTGAGAATGAAAAAGACTTGAGTGAACCGGATTTCAACTTTACAAGAGGCGCTTCACATTCCCGAAACAACGAACGGGAAGACAAGTTTGGCGATCGAGGAATGCGAGAAGAGAATAAGTTTGGAGAACGTAGATCTTTTGGAAGGGGAGAAATGGACAACAGCAAAGATAAGGAAGGTAGAAGAAATACTCGATACAGCGAGAGCAGACGTAGATATGCGGACAAAGAGGACGAGCCTGAATGGTAAGTTTATAGTTAAAAAAACATCCATTAGTCTTGTTATTTAATTCAAAATTCTACCTTGCCTTGTCGTTTATCGTTATAAGAAAACGTTTTCCAACCAATTATCCAGTTTTCTTAATTTGTTATTCTTAATATACATGGTTGCCCATAAATATATCGACAACTTTTAGGAGCGGAAAGGAACACAGTCATGTGTCTGACAAAGCGTTTTAAAAATATATATTTAAAATTTAATCTAATTTCGGTTTGTTGCTAACTAAACGGCATATTTTGATTCAATTGCAATTGAAGCAGTATTTACAAGGACTTCCGCACAAAGCAACTGGTTGGTTGCATAAAAAAATAATCCTAACTACTAACAATTAACTAAAGACAATTTTGTTCTACATGAGAGCATGTAATTGATGAAATTTGCTGAATAGTATATATAGTTCTATTGCTGATTTTTTGTAAAGATTGATGTATTATGTAACATTCTCTTCTAATGAAAGATTAATTACATTTTAAAGGCTTTCCGTAAAAAGAGTGTAAAATTGCAAAAACATACTAAACGTTATTTTCTTTATAGTTTAGACTAACCAGTTGTGTTGTGAGTGCAGCCTTATAAATATAGACTCAATTTTAAATAAACCAACAGATATTTTGGTTACATGCAACTGTTAACCTTTCATTAAAATTGACTAATGTGTTTTTACATGCGTATTAATAACAAAACATTATCTTAACCAAATTCAACACCATCGACTTAAAAATTGCTTGGTTTTGGGAGATATGTTTATTAAGCAAAAAATCTGTATATTTATGTGCCCTACCCGTGTACCTTTGATCTTAGGTTTTCTTCTGGGCCAATATCCCAAAATGATACAATCGAATTGAGAGGTTTCGATGAGTCTGAAAAACTTGGCAAAAAGAAACAACCTAGTCGCTTAAAGCGAGCTAAAGAATGGTCTAAGAAGAAAGAGTCTACTATTGTTGAGGACAAGGAGAAAATCGACCCCAAGGAAAGGTAACATTAATGAGTTACTGAAAAGTGGTTTTACTGTTATTTTCGTCGCAAAAAATTAAGTTGATTCAATTAAATTAAATAGTCAAATTAAATTCGATTGATTAAGTAAATATAATTTTTTAAGATCTACACCTAACCACATTGAGACTACATCAAAAGAACTGAAAGAGAACGGCGAAGAGCCGAAAAGGCAACCTACCTCGCAACCATCTCAAAAGCACGCTGATTCGAAGCAACAGTCATCTCAGGCTGACCATTCCTTTGACTTTGATGAATTTTTGAAGGGAGAAAACATTCCAGAATTATTGACGGTACGAACCCACCAATTAAAACAACATTTACTTGAGATTTATAAATGAACTACTAGATTTTACGCAAAATCATGGGTATTGAACTAAACAGATCTCTCGGTTTTCGTGGTTTTAAAACCATCTAAAATAATCGAAATTTTAGAATGGAGAAGTCAACGAAACAGACAAAACAACGTCAAGATTTTCCCGCTGGTTCAAAAAGGAAAGCCCTAACAAGGAACTGGGGGGAGAAGCTAGCAGAAAATCGTCTATTCAGGAAGACAATCATATCATCAAAGTAAGTCGTTAATTCCGGTTCCGCTGGGATATTATTAAGCAAATTTAGACGAGACAAACTTTCCATAGCGGTCCTATAATATTGAAAATAAATTGCTTTACTGCTGATTCTCCATTCTAAATTAAGAATCAATTTGTTTGATAGAGGTTATTAAATTTTCTAAAAAAATGAACACATTTAAGTTGGTGGTAAAAAGTATATAGCTCTCATTGTTATGAAAGTTTATTTTGTATCCATAAATTTATATCTGTCAATTGGAACTTTTTAATACAATTTTTTAGAGGTAATACTGTTTTTGTATCTACATTAAGAGTTCATGGGTGTATACATTTAATTGAAGAACAACTTATTATTTTATATTTAATTGAACATTGCAGGATCTTCTTAAAGATATTAACGAATCTAGTTCGATTCCAATGTCGGTTCGCACACCGATGGATTCCAATATCTATTTTACCCCCATTTCACCGGCTGGTAATTCTCTGGGAGCATTGGAAAACATGATCGGTGATAAGTCTCGATCGGCTGGTAATGTGGGACAATCCATCAATATTATGGACATATTGGCTAGAAGCAGGCAACAATCTCAACAGCCGGAAGGATGGAGCAACAAAAATCAAGCTCCATGTTAGTTTTATTACAAGTTATGGATTTCTTTTATAATTAGTTATGATTTTCTTTCAGCTATGGGTAGCGGGAAAATCCTAAGCTTGGACGAACTTGAATCCAAGATAAGACCAAATTCTGAACATTCCGTAAATGTACAACAAAAGCAGCCCCCACAGAAGCCCGATGAAGAAATGACTGCCAATTTTAAAAGATTGGTATGTATTTTTATTTCTTTGTGTTAATTTATACACGTATTGAAATTCGATTTAATCACATTTTTAGTAACGCTTACATTATTACTAATCAATTGTGTTTATATTCCAAGCTGCAACAGGCCGGTGCTCACCCCGGATCACAAAATGGACCTATGAATAAACCCCCTCCTATGAGTCTTCTTGAGGTACATTTTATGTTTTGCAGTTTGCTTTTTGTAATTGTTAAACGCAGTTTAACAAGCTTGAGGTACTTAGTATGGGGGGTTTATTTCAGAGCATGCGGATATCATTAACGTTTACAGGTGTTGCGTACTTACAAGAATGTGATTAAACGCTTCACCTGATCAAAATCATGTCCTTTCTGTTCTTTCAGATGCTAAGTCATTCGCAGCAACAAGATGAAGCTCGTATGGCTGCGGCTCAAGCAGCAGCTGCAAATCATCACCTTTTAAGCGCGTTCCACTCTCACCAGCCTCAAGTTCATAATGACTTGGCATTAAAATTGCAACAAGCACAACTGCAACAGAAGCAAATGGAAATGCTTGGTAAACGGCTAATTGTTAATCTTAGATTGTCTAATCATTGAGTATCGTTTTCTAGTATCAGGAAAGCTGATGTCAGCAGGAACTGCTCCTACAGCTGCTCATATGCGCGCCAGTCCTCTGTTGGAAATAAGTGCTCAACAAAGCAGGGAATTGCTTAGCAGACCAGAAGCACAGGCTATCTTGCAAGGTAATAATAATTTGAAACATTTTCTTTTAAGCAAACTTGTGTTCATAGCACTATACGGATAATCATGAGATAAGTACAGTCTGCAACACATATTAGAGTTGTATACGTTTCTTAATAGGCCTGAAACGCGGGGAAATTACCATTCAACATCTATATCAGCAAATTGCTAATCCCGCTCTCCAACCAAGACATCGCGATATGCTAGTTACTATTTTGACACTACACGGTAACTCGGCCAGTTATGGACCGAGTCCACGTGTTTTAAGTCCGGCTCCGGTACCTCATCATTTGTATGCTCCTCAACAACCCGGACAAATGCAGCAGCAACAGTTGAGAGTGTCTCCATTACAGCCGAATGGTGAGTCGGCGTGCGCCTTGCTTAGTGCTAGCCGACTTTTGCTTTTCATGCTTTCTGTTCGCTCCTTTTGCTTTTTTTGTTTGCATTTTGTACATTCTTTAGCGTTTTTATTTAGAATGGATCTGACATGGTTTTTGTACTTGGAGAGTAGAGTGATTGAATCATTGTATTTCATATCATTATGTAGGTATAAATGAGTTTGTTTGTAAGATAAGGCTCGAATGAATATTCCATTTCATTGCCTACTTCTATCGAGAGTTTTGGAGGTGATCCCTAGGTCACTGATTTGGTAGCTGGCACTTTTATTTCACCCAAAATATTCCGCAGCTAATATTGTTTCTTATCAGTTGAAATAGCAAAAAACTTAAAAAAAATAGAGATCGCACTTAACTACGAACTCACTTCATAATCCCATTTTAAGTCCCACACCATTTGCTAAAAAGCTAGCACAACTCCATTGTGATGTTTTGATTTCATTTTGTCCCATGGGCTTATCTGTATGTAATTAGACGATTTTTTTGAATAACAAATCCAAAACTTCGAACATTTTCTTCCATGCAGCTTACTGTGTTTCCCCTATAATGGCCACTAGTCCTAACCATCTGGCTGTCCCTGGTGAGTCAATTGTTCATCATTAATGATAATATTTGTAACTGCGAAAGTAGATTTTACAACTGTTTAATATAAAACATTGTTAGCTATTCATCAACGCATTCCATCGCCTCGAGAACTTCAACTGCACACTCAGAACATCTTGCACAGGGCATTGATTAAAAAGAAGTTGGAAGAGCAGACCGAAAATTTCCGCAAGAAACAAGAGTTACAACGTGGCGCTAGCCCAAATTCCAGAAACATTCAAAGTGGAAAAGGAGTTTCCTCACCCACTCCACTAGCCTTTACGCCTACTTCAGTTTTGAGAAAGATGACTGCTGATAAGGATGAAGGTAAACTATTTTTGTCGTTTATTTTTGGAAGGAAACAATTTAAAACAATCGAATTTTTTTACAAACAACATTTTGTAATCAATTGGCACTGAATCTTATTAATGCTTTAAAATGACGTAACTCGGGAGAGAGAACATATTATTCAAAATACTGCGTTTAAAAGTGGGATAATGTTTCTTCGTTTATATTAGGTTTTTATATTTTTACTGTTTTTCTTTAGGTGCATCTTGCAGTTTGGTTTTTACTTTTTTCGATAGCTTTGCATTGCTGTAGATCTGGTGTGTGACACACGGTGATACACGGTGAGTCGCGGTCAATGGCGTATTAGACGTTAAAGGAGGTCGCGATGCACGATCTTTAAGAAAATTTGTACAACGAAAATATTTTTAACAAAACAACGTTGCCTCCTATATTGAAAAGTACCTACAACTTCGAGATTTTAAATGAGACACTGTTTATTATTGCACATTTTGATTGATCTGATTAATTATGTTTAACACTTACAATATAATTAACAATAATTACATTCGTATTTTTTGGAAAAAATTGTCCTAAGAATATTCCAATATGGACATCTGGAAATTTCAAATTTTGGCTCTTTAGGAAAGCTCTATGATTTAGCCACACAACAGTTTGTTTTGCTAGATATCGAAATCGCGTAAATCCAAGATTTTTTGGCGTTATATTTTACTAAAAAATAAAACTATTATTTGATGTTTTGAAAACCGGTTGAGATCCATAGAGCCAATTCAAATGTGCAATAATATACAGGATGCCTCATTTAAAATGTAGAAGTTGTAAATATTTTACGCCCATAGAGCACATCCAATTACATTATTGTTCCGACAACTTTTCTGAAGGAATGTGCATCGAGTTTTACGTAATCATCTAATACGCCATCGACCGTAAATCACCATGTATATTTATAATTAGCAAATATTGTAAAGGGGTTGTATATTTTCGGTTCTGCTTTGGTTGATTGAAGCCACTAAGAGATCTCTGCTGTTATAACTTTTCAGGATTCACAGCTTGTATGCAAAGGTTACTTAACAATTGATATATGTTTTCTAAAAATAGTACCCCCATTATATTGCATTTCAGGAGAAGTTCCTAAAGTTGGAATTTTTTATTTCTTTAGTGGTAGATAAATCGGATGTGAATACAATTTGCACATGAGCATGTATGTAGAGCGGAATTGCAGTGGTAGAAATTGATATGACCGGTTAGGCTATAACTCTAATGAATTGGGTTAAATACAAAAGTAGGTAGGCAATTCTAAAATCGAAGTTACGGCGCCAAGACAATTGTTTTATTAAAAAGGTATTACTTTGTTGTGTATTGATCTTCAGTGTTAAATTTTGTGTAGATTTTAAATCATAATTTTTCGTCCAATCTAACGTTCAACTGTTTGCAGGAAAATACAACTGAAAACATTAAATTTTGACCTAATAAAACAATTTAGCACCATAAGCAACTAATGAAAGCTTTAAAATAGCATAAATTATTAAACTATATTTGCTTCCATATTTATACAATAAAGCACGAGAAGCAAGTAAAAAACCTGAATATTAACTGCAGTTACTGTTATCAAAATTTCACAGTTTTCAAAGCAGCGACGTTAAAATTAGTATAAATTGATTTTTAAGCCTCTATCCCATGCATGCGTTTTTACGATGGTACGAAAGTGTTTCTATTGGTCAGAGATTTCAGATATTCGTACGATCCCGATTTCTAGCTSTCTCATGTATACGATAACCATGCTTGCCTGATTCACAATTTTATCGTTACCATACCGAAGTAAGAAAACCGCGAGTTCGGTTMTACGGCTGAAAATTAAGTAGCAATAAAACCTWTSAAAGTTTTTTTAGTGAAGTTGTCAGGTCGTATATGTAATTAAACCAAAATATGAATTTACGTTCTAATGAATAAATTTAAAGATTAAGAGATATGTGTTTTGAATATTCTACTAGAAAGCAGAATGATAGGGCAACATTGCTTTATAGTGGAGGTATATATTTAATTATACTCGTATTAACAAAACTGTGCAACGCTTAACTTTAATTCAAATATTAAAACGTAGACACAGTCCACCATGTCTCGACTTTTTACGATCTTCGGAGGAATTTAAGTGCGTTTTGAATAATATTATGAAATTAATGTTAAAAAGTTTATTTTTACTTTGTTTTTGTCAAAGTTCCGGCGGTCATAACTAAATAAAGTTTTTGTTTTCGTCCTAAAAAAGTTGATTGCTTCAATAGATCTCCAAGCAAATGGTAGTAAAATTGAGGTGGAATATATATTTTGACAGTACCTACAATATCAGTGAAAAATCTCCTGATAGACGGTGTAACGGCAAGACTGCGGTTGTGATCAGATACCACTCAGGGATCGGTCCAAATCAATTAAAAAACACTTATATTATGAACTATTCGTTTATTTTATGTTATTAAATATGGTCTGGAACCCAAAATCTTCGTGTATTTGTACTTTCACTGTTTTGTCTATTCTATAATGAGAACAGAAGCACTTTGTTATTCCCATTTTGTGAAAGTTTAGTTTTAATTATTAAAACTTACAATAAATTCAACATAAAATCTAATAGTAAAAATGATGATGAGATTAAACATTTTGCAAACTACATGCATGGGACATTAAACTGTAATAAATTTATGACGTGGTCAGGTGGAGAAGATATACAATTGACCATAATTTTTTATTTTGGATTTTAAAGTTGAATTCTCCACACCGCGTATGTTTCATACTAAGATCATTAAATTAATTTATAACCAATCGTTGCAGCATTTCCCGGATATAATCTTAAACGATGGCGTCACAAAGTTGTTATTCTTCAGATAGATAACGTCATTAATTTCTAAATCGACAAACCTAAACTTGTAAATGTAGGTCTTTGAAAAATTGTGGAAATTTCGTAAAAGTGATAATTTTGTTAATGTATAATATTGAATGAAAACCATTGCCGATGGAGGAGTTTAACAATATTGTAAATCGCGTATATCGGCATTCCCAGCTACTTAGCAGCAGATAGGTAGTCTTCGAGTATATTACAAGAGAAGGAAGTATATTACTTGTGCAACAAGAAATCACTAGATTAAAGGAGTTGACTAGAAACCACTTTGCTAAAGTAGCTTATTGGATACTTGTTCCAGTATTATAACTAAGTTTATTGTATTAGGAAAAGAGAATAAAGCTGTTACCGACAACGTGAAACCGCAGGGTCGTGCGGTTACTGGCATGCGCCAGCAACCACAAGTTACTGTCAATAATCAGCAATGGAATCAGGCGTTTCCGATGAAGCAAGGTAAAGGTTTATTAAATATAGTGAGCAACTAAGACTATCTCAGCAAACCGTTTGAGAAACGGTTCGGCGTATTCTATTTTTGGCAGACCACAGCTTTACATTGCGTTGCATTATCTGTTTCGTTTTTTGTTATACGTTTGGGTACCCAGCTAATACAACCAAAGGCGAACGTAGCAAGAGTTTGTTCGGTTAATCACGACGATTGATGCATTTCAAAATTTTCCATTTTAGTCCTATCGAAATTTAGATAGAAAAACACCAATGCTTCCCTTAATAATGTTTCTGTCTTATTTCAGCTGGTCGTCCGATAGTGAAAGCAAACAACTATCAGTCCCAGACACCTGATCAGTTTTTCGCTCAGCTGGCCGCACAGCAGCAACCTTTGCCCCAACAGCGCACTTATCAGGCTGTCTCAAATGCAGCTCATCGCAAGCCGATTATTGGACAACAATATTCAGTGCAAGGTTTGATATATTTGTTGTATATTTTATAGCCTCCACAGTTAAGCAGATGTTGTGTAAATATTCAATTGCAGGTTCTCAATACGGTCAATCTCAGCCTCAATATTCCCATCCCAATAATCCTCAAACCTTTCAACAGCCAACCGCTCAGCAGTTAAGAGCACAACATCAACACAGGCCCAGCAACCCGGTTACGCAGCAGCCCGCCAATGTGCAGGGCCAGCAAAATCAGACGTCCCAAAATCAGCCTAATTCCCAATCAGCAACATCTCAGAAGCAACACGGAAACCCACAACCAATAGGGTACCCTGCGGCTCAACAAGGGACTGCAGCCTGGCAACAGTTCCTAAATTCGACGGCTCAACCACAAAGTCAGTATTCCATTCAGTTAAAATAGGCTCTTCATAAAATTTCATTAATTACATTTGCACCATTTTATTCCCTTGGCAATACCTACGATTGAAACCTCAAACAAATAAGCAAACGTTAGTGTTTTTCACGTATAGTGAATAGTTGGTACACTTGATCGATTCGCCTAAATGTGAGGGTAAACGTTGCACACTAGCGCAATACTAAAATTATATAACATCACTAAAATTATGGCTGCAAAAAAGTTGCTGGAGATAAAATTGACGACTGTAAAACGCCCTTTACAAGCATTCTAAATTAGATAATGCATCAGAAACTTTGGATATTTTGAAAGAAAAGTGCTTTCAACATTTGCTTGTATATTGGTTTGTAATTAAGCGCGAATACTTGAAAATGCTGTTCTAATTTCGATCACACAAAAGTAGTTACTTTTCCTTTACTTTTCATTATTACAACTTGCGTGGTTTTTTTTTGTTTGGTGCGAATTGGCCCCTTCTGGATTCCCAATTTTTTAACTTTTTTTTATTGCTTCATTTGAAAGATATTTTTTAATTAATTTTCTTGTTTGAAAACCGCTCAACTCCTTTATTTCTATGCAGAGTTACAGGAAATTTCTTCATCTGTTGACACCCCTCCTAGATAGTTTATTTTAAAAATGGTGAAATGTCGTAGTACAAAACTTGTTTATTATTACTCAGATTGTCAAAAAAAGGAAGACATAAATATCACACTTTAACATAGTCACTTTTTTCTAATGGAACACCCTATCGATCTGTTTATAATAAAACTATGTCAAATACGGCATTTACGTTTTTCTTTTAACAACTTTTCAAAAGTCGAGTAATAATGAACAACTTTAGTATTTCCCACTTTTCAAAATCATTTGATATAAATGATCGAGAGTGTGTAAACTTATAAGAAAACACCCTGTATCATTGACATAATTACCGTCTATAAACTGATCACATTATGTATTAATTATTAGCACTTGAATTCCAAATATTTTAAGAAAATCTGGAATTTCGTATGTACTGCACTAAGTACTACGGTAAACTGATTTTAAGTGAGTTAAGAACACAGGGATTATGTCGACTATTAAAAAAGAAAATATTTGCTTAAATCAAATGATAACAAGGCTAATATTTTATTTTTAAATATATTTAATGCAGATAATTGTGGTAGTACACTTTAAATGCGAAATGTTCCCGTATGTACTTGTATTTTCTTATTTGAAAATTTCCAGTAATAAATGTCTTAAAAAAGTTTTGATAAGAAATTTTCCAGTTTTACCCTGTCTCACAAACAAATTATCAAATGAGAAATTAAAAAGCGCCATTAAAACAGGGTTTATAATACCACATCAATAACGGTTTCTTGGTATTTGCTTCTGTTTCCGAAATAATCTATTGAAACGAATAATTTTGGCTACCCTGTACATTCAAAAGTTTGGCATGAATTGTAAGATTATTATGAGAGAGATCTATACGTGTTCTGCAAAAAATCTGGTCCTGACAATCCTAAATGAACGATTTAGCAGTAAATAAACAAATAATTAGTCTGTTGACCTTATTTAAAAAAGAAGTGATTCACCAAATTTTCTTGTACACATACATTTTTGTCATAGTAGATGCACAAGAATCATAATTGTTTTAATATTTCAGACACCCGCCCATCGACTACTTCTACCGGTCTGTCTCCATCTACAACTGATCAGCTAACTCGTTGGTTCTCTCCCGATCTGCTGGAGCGTGCTCGTGGTGGTGAGCTGCCCAGTACTGCTAATTTAGCCCGTTTGGAGGAAATCGAGCGCCAGGCAGCACCCACAGTGCACAACTAAATTGAATCTTAACAGAAGTTGAAAGTTAACAGAAGAAAGCCGGTAAGTACTACCTGTGGTTTTCATACATGGTGGTTGTCTCTCTCCGTTTGGTTCTGTTGATTTTGACATTTCTTAGAGAATAGCGTTAATTTAAGAACCGCGTTTCGCGTTTAAGGGGTTTATTAGTTTAATTTCTGTTATTTGAGGTATCTTTCGTTTATGGTTCATCTTATAAAAAAATGTTAAAAGACATCAAAACCAAAGGAAAACACTTAAAATTAATGTTGTTGTTATACTGCGTTTATTGTGGCGTTATTAAATTGTTACATAACTGTTCCATGTTCTTGGGTGTTTGATAATTTATAAAATTTCTTGCAAATCACAAGTTAATTTCGAACAATTCGAATATGAAACGAAGATGATGTTTCAATAAAATGTTATCAAATGCAAAAAATAAACATTTATATGTACTATAGTTTCTTTGAATGTTTCAAATTATCGAGTGTAATCCACAAGGAATTAAAAAAATGTTGATATTTCGTGGGTTATCGTTTTATTTTGGACAGTGCATGCCAGATTGTGTGTGATGCGTTATAGTCGTTTGGATATTTTATAATAGGTCTAATAGATATTTTATAACTGAGAAACGAGGAGGAAAAACTGGAGATATCGAATATAATAGATTATTATAAACAGTTATGTGTTAGCAGTGGAGGTACCTTTCCGTTTTCACATATAAAGATGTGTTGAGAAGGGGCGATATTAAAAAGTTTTTGCTGGGTTGTTAATCTTTATCAATGTTATAATCGGAGTAAAAAGTGCAATTATTTTGAGGAATTTTTTTAACCACAACACAACATTTTACATCCGAAAATAAGTCTAATTTTCTTCTATATGCAGGATGTTTTCGGAGCTGTACATATTTACTATATACATGCAATGTTTTCATCAAATCACGCATACATTATTTTTTCTGAACGACATAAAATCAGAAAGAAATAATTTCTGTGTGACTTTACGAACAAGTGTATCTACTTTTTGTAGAAACATTATGTTATTCTACATTCAGTTTTAAGTATAAAAGTTTCCATAAACGTAAGTACGGAAAGACCTGGTTTTGGATGTACAGGGCATTAAAAGTTAATTCACGTTTGTAAATTTTCGAAAAAATGTTTAATACTTTAACCAATCTGGGTCGTCATTAAAGGACATGTTTTACAATAAACGTAAATTACATTTCTTTAAGAAGGGCGTGCGCACTGCCCATGTTTGTTGTTACATATACTTTTTTTAAACTTTTTTTAAACACGTAAATTTCCTCGATTTATGTGATGTAAGGTTTTGTTCTGTAAGTTTAGTTCTTGTCGATATTAAATTGTTTTTATTCCACGAAATGTCATTTTTATATGAGTTATTGAGGTACTTTTATTTGAGCAAAATAATCGAGAATTAAACAATCGAAAGATCGGGTCTTAAAAGTGCCGTTCAAAGTTCTTGCTTATTTAATTGTATCCATTGGCAGTACGCACGCCCACTTTAGCAGATTCTAATTAATTCTTATTGCAAAAGTCGTCTTTGGTGACGTAATAATCCGCAAAATTTGGTTAAAATGCCAATAATATCTTTAAAATATAGTTTTTACCTGAACTTTTATCGTCTTGAATATCACAAGCAAGTTTTTTTCCAGACCTGTGCTTATAAGAACTTTAACACATACAATTTAAAGTGGATTTATATTTTAAAATATGTACATCCTCGCCTTAAACGCCCAGTATAACAGATTGTGTGATGACAGGGTGGTGTTAAACTGTAATAAAAAAAATTCAAAATAATTAAAACTAATTTATTTTACTAATCTACTGGTATTTATTTAATTAATTAATTTAAAAAAAGTTGGGATACATATAGTAAATTTTCGCACAAGGTATGAGAAAATTTATCTTTTAACAATATTTTGTGCCTATTTACTATGTACCTTAACTATAACAATTTATTTTAAAAGCCATTGAAACGATTCCGCGTATCCGCCCGTTGTTGCATAGGGGAATCAAGATAAATTATGTAGTCAATATTATCTAAAAGTAAACGTCCATTTCTAAAGAAAAGGAAGTATTTGCAAGCATGCCCATTCATATGTGTCTTAATGTTCAACATTTCTTTATTAGCACTCAATGTATTTGCACCGTTCTATAGTTGCTTATTAATACGAACATGAGCTTCATCTAAAATGTAGCTAATTTATTACTTTTACTAATTCATAATACAGTGTCGTAACTACTAAAGGTAAGTATATTATTGCATGTGCTTATTGTGATTTATTTTAATTTTTTGCTTGGATACTTTCTTTTTATTCTGTTTTAGTGTCTGATTTAATTTCATTAATTTCAGGTATGTAGATTCAGTAAACCAACAACACACATGCGGGGTAATCGTCTCATCTCCAAAAAGAAATGCGGTAGGTAATTTTGTCAATTTTTCTATTAACTATATTCTAAAAAGTAATAAAACATGTTGAAATTTTCCATTCAACCAAACAGATGCTGCGAAACATTTTGTAAATATGCTGTGTGAAATTTATTTCAAATGTGATAGAATGTTAAATGTTGGCTGAGTGGAAATGTTTCTTTAGAAGAAAATAGTTTAAAAATGGTTACATTATACTCGTGAAGAAATAATTAAGAAGGGGCTGTAAGATTTTATCCCGAAAATTTTCATGTCCAAAATTGCCCAAACCAAAAATGCATTTTGTAACAATATTCATGTTAATAGTTTTTCATTTCCAATGGAACTGGATATAAAAGGGGGTTTTACCGGATATTTTAGGTTTATGTCTGCCCCTTTTTAATTATTTAAGAACTATATTAGATAGTAAATTCAATGTGCGGATGTAATCGAAATGTCCTTGTCCAATATTTTTACGGTTGGGATTTAACAAAACTAGAACTTGTTTAAGTTTAATGTGAGAAAGAACGGTTTTATTTTGTTTTTGATGTTTTAGAATTTTGCTTTCGTTTTGGTGTTAAAACTATATAAAATGTAGCCATATTTGAACTATTCTATGTATGTACAGCTGATTACAAAAATGAAGATAAGGCGTATCTGCCTAGTTTGGTATAGTAATTGACAGAAATGCCAGAGATCATTAACAGGGTACATAAGACGAAAAATGTGCTTTGAATTATATTAATTCAGTAATTATCAAATTTTCTTGTTCATGTTTGTCTGCAGGCTACCATTAACTTTTATATTAAAATATTTTTATTCAGTATCTTTTACATATGCAACGATCTTTTAAGCTTGTGGTAGTCGTTAGTATTCAACTAATGCAGATCAATTTATGACTCATAGCCAATTGTATTATTTATTTAATAATGTAAGTATCCTGTTGATGATTTTCTATTGTTTACTTAGGATGATTTTCTCATTTTGTAATGGAATTGCTCAAAAACAAATTTATAAATTGATGCAACTGGAAAGATGGGCATTACCGTTTTTATGTCATTACAAATTGAGAATCAAACATTATCTTTAAGAAACAAAAATTGAACTGATTTTTTTGCAACTTTTGTTCCTTTTGAGTCACTCAACCACATACAGTTATAAGATCTGCAAAATTCGTTATGTAAAACGTGTTTTGCAACATTCCTGTTAGTAAGAGAATGAATGGTCGGAAATATGGTAATAACCATCATTTCACTCTATTTAAATTTTCGGGTGTTATTAATATACCAACATTTTAGCAATTAATGTATTGCTTCGAGAGTATTTCTCACTCATTCAATTCTTACTTTAACAAATTATTTTTCCATCCTCAAATAAACAAAGTCAGTGAGTCCGATTACTGTATTAATTAAATTGTATTATTTTGTCTATGGTGGGAAACGTTTGTGAAAACTTTGACTCAAATGTGACTCCCTTTGAGATTTTATCTCAAATTTGAGGAATAATCAGTATTGCTGCCGTTATGCATCGGAGTTGCATTGATGTCAAGTTTGCGTGTAAAAAGATTATGAAATTATTTTGTAAATAAGTGAGATTATCATGATACTTATTAAAATTTTGTTTGAAATTAAATAAAGAACAGAAAAATAAACGATTCTTATTCGGCAATTCAAACATTTTTGCCTACATCAATAGTTGAAAATGGGATGTATTTACAGACAATGAAAGAGAGATAAAGGCTATATTGGGAACTTAATTTCCTTCCCATTTCAGAAGCGAATACAGTGGTTCTGGGTCAATACCTTTCCAATTATATGAATGCCCTAAGTGCTCCAGTAGCATGACCTCCGAGATCACCACCCCTACCTCTATGTAACTTCTGATTGTGGAGTTGCGTAAAATCTTTAGTTTTCAACTTCACAAAAAGAAAAGAATTGGTTACGTTATGAATATATATTTAGTTCTCTCTGGTTCTTCATGTTCTAAACTGCAATTTTCCTACTCTTATTTCTATTTTACGAATCTACGGCATCCATATGGATCCATAGCAACATCGGCAATTCGCGCAGTAAATTGCATCTGAAAAATATAAAACATCGCTGAACTTTTGGTTGGTCTTAAATAGCTATACTTCGAATTTATATTCTAATATTGAAGATTAATTTCATCTATAAATAATACATTTTTGGTATTTACCGTACTAGAAGTAAATTGTACTTAAGTGCAATGTTACTCTTTAGAACAGTATAAATGTTTTGTTCTAAACTTGGGGACGTTTTGGTAACATTTGCTTTTTTGCAATTTTCTTACTACGGAATCTGATATTTTTATAGTTTATATTACTCATTATGGCTTGCATAAAATTACGCTTATCTGAGTATGCCCAGAACCTCTTTAAACATTATTTTGAATTTATTTCTCGAACTCATTTTAATTAACTGACTTTAACTAACATTAAGTTAGGCGGTAACCACGCATTTGCGATCAGGTATTTGTGACAGACATATCATTCTAAGGTGTCTTTGATATAAACGTTACATTTGCTAGTGAGTAGTAGTTTTAAGTTATCGGCTTATTTGACACGATGTCTAAAACGTATCAAGTTTATCGTTCTTGTGAAGCTTCTCATCTTCATAATTATAGATGTGATTTGTATTATCAGCACATTAATTATTTCGGGAAAGTGAAAGTTGTGCCTCAACTGAACTGCTGAAGTCATGTTTGAAGTCGCACTGCGTATCAAGGAATATTTGAAGTCAGGCTTCTATAAAAAAAGTATATTTTGACCTTTGCTTTAATGACACAGTGCCATTAGAATTAAACAGCAATACTGACGTCAGGTTATAAAACTGAAGAAGTTTGATATGGATTGGCATGTATGTGTTATTATGGGATAAATTATGGATTTATATCTCCTGTAATGAGTGTAGGTACGTATGGAAATACAGGTATTTATATAAATGAGAAGGAGCGTTCCTTGTGATTGGATTTATATAAATGGTTTGAGAATTCAATTAAAATACTTATTTTTGAGACATTATTGTGTTGAATAACTGATTAGGGTGTCGAATTTAGAGTTCTACCAGTAAAACCATCCATTTTTTTTCAAGTTTTTTTAAGATGTATCCGTGATGTTAAAGAGAAAAACGTCCGTTGCGGAGGCGAATGAAAAACATAAATTTTTTTAGACAAAAATTTTTGAGACGAAATACCCAACGAAGAAAAAATACCCCAAGAAGTTTGTAAAAAAAACATTAATTCCAAATAACTGGTTTAATTTATTGTTAAAATCTCGGGTTTCTTTATATTGTTTTTTGTATTTGGCAAACTATAATTAGGAAAAAATTGGTATTTGGACAGTGAGCCGATGTCATTCGGAGCAAGCAAACTAACATATTTTCAAGATGGCCACGCTTCGGGTTATACCGTAAATAGGTATCAACTTGTTTATTTTAAATGAAACACCCCATACAGGGTGGTTCAAAATTGGCGTCATTCCTGGAGGGGTTGCCTGAAAGTACAGGAAAAATAGTAAAAAATTAATGCGTATTAAAAACTGATATATTTGCAAAAAACTAGGTCAGAACGATGGCAACATTGTTTTTCAAGGGAATCTGCCTAATTATTATTACGTAAATACCCGTTTCTTCTTTATTATTACAAATGGTAGTAACTATGAGAACAAAGAAGAAAAAAGTACTTTGAGGTTAGGATAAGTTTGCCCAGGGATGGTCTGTGCACTTTCCCGTCAGTGCTGTTAAAGGTCAATATCGATCAACTAAAATACAATTAAATTGTTAAATCACAGGAGAAGTTCGAAGTTCTGTCCGTTTAACTCCAACTATGTTTGTGTCCCAATAACTTTATCGTGCATTTCTGGCAGCACTCTGGGCTCTCTGAGCATTATTGCCGCTTTGACTTTTCATCAAAAAATTGTAGAAGAGTACTTTTTTAATTTAAAAAATGTTCATGACTTGAAGCAAAAATCGTAATTTTTCTTTTCGAACGGTTGAGTATTCCAATAGGCTACCAATCAAAGATGGGACCATTTAAAAATAATACTTAACAACAAAGTTGAAATTCAATCTTCAACTGTTAATATCTTCTAGAAATTTTCTATATTTTTCTCGTACTCTCTAAGTGAGCCTCTATAGCCCCTTAAAAGGAATTACGACAATTTTGAATCACCTTATATATTAATGCATTTTTTGAATTTTACTCCAAACTCTAAATATATTTAATGTATAATATCCTAGACCTAAGTTTAACCGTTTGTGATATATTTGAAATTTTATGTAAAAAGTTTCAGTTGTACCCACTCGAATAATTATTCATTTGTCCTAGAAGGAAATATGTGCTACTTAATTTGAGTCGCATTTCTTGTTGAAAAGGACTTATTTAATGGAATTTCGACAACATTTTGATAACTATTTGTAACGAAGGTTACTAAGATTTTCTTTCTGTCTGGCTAATTTAATCCAGCACTAGGTGAATGGACGTTTTCAAGGGCCCCAGTAAAAGGATATGTATTTCTTATTAATGGTATTTCACAATTGTACTGATATCTCGTACGAAATTTCGAGAACGATCCCTACCAAAAAGGGCTTCCACTACCAGCCAAGTGGTAGGCAGTAGATAGAGCCGAAAAAAGGTATTAAGGGGACACACAGCCCAGTTTCGGGCACTTTTTTTCTTGTCCTACCGACCGACCGAACAAACCACACTTCTCTGTCCTACCGGCCGCACCGATTTTTATTTCCATCGGTATTCAGCTTCACCGATACCGATCAAGCATCAATCCGAGAAATTCTAAACTACCACGAGTTTGACCCGCAGTGAAGAAGGTACAGTAGCCATATTCGTAGACGATTCTCGACATTTCTTACGGTTTCCCGTATAAAAGGGCCATAGAGCGATTTGGTGTGCCTTGAGGTCATCCCTTTATTACGAAACCCGTGTAAGTTACAAGTTCTGGATCATCTTGAATCTGTCAGGCTTCCCCATCATTCAGCGATGTTTCGCACTGCCTGCAGTAATATAAAACATTGTGTTTGCGACCGATGGTGGTTATTCTGGCGTCGCGATTTGGCTATTTCGCCAGGCGTGGGCTCAGAATTTCCGGTGTGGACCGTATGCTGTCATTCTGGCCTCGCGCTTCCGGGAATTTCGCCGGGCTTGAGCTTAGAATGGCTGCCGGTTTGTAGATTTTGTTTGTCTCTGCATTTAAGCACCTCTTCACCGTGTTTTGTGACCGATGGTGGTTATTCTGGCCTCGCGCTTCCTGCCATTTCGCAAGGCCTGAGCTCAGAATGGCTATCGGTTTGCAGACCTCAGTTTCCGAATTTCAGCACCTTTCACCGTGTTTTGTGACTGATGGTGGTTATTCTGGCTTCCCGCTTCAGGCCATTTCGCCAGGCGTGGGCTCAGAATTTCCACCTGGCCCTCAAATCTCCGCTATCGACCGTTGGCTGTCATTCTGGCCTCGCGCTTCCGGCCATTTCGTCGGGCATGAGCTCAGAATGGCTGCCGGTTTGCAGATTTCGTTTGAATTTAAGCACCTTTTCTCCGTGTTTTGTGACCGATGGTAGTTATTCTGGACTCGCGCTTCCGGCGATTTCGCCAGGTATGCGACTCAGAATTTCCACCTGGCCATCTAATCCACGCTGTCGACCGTATGCTGTCATTCGGGTCCCGCGCTTCCGGGCATGAGCTCAAAATGGCTGCCGGTTTGCAGACCTCAATTGTTTCCGAATTTAAGCACCTTTTTCGACTTGTTTTCCTGCTGAAATTAAGATCTTAATGTTTGAGTCATGTAAGCCAATTAATGCAATGTTTCCAGTCCGTTCGACATTCCCATTCCGATAGAACGCAAATTAGAATGGCCACCCTAAAGAACCAATTTTCGCTTAAATTAACTGTCAGTGACCGTCTTTCACTGTCCAGCTATTACAGTCGTCCTATGGCATTAATTACTTACTCAATCAGTCGACACCATCAGCTAGACCGAGATTAAATAACCGTAAACAAAGTAAATGTGGGAAATTAATACCTTTCCTGCCGATCTCTGAGGTTTTGCTGGTGTCGTCAAATTTGTTCTGAGTATAAATTCCCCCAGTCCGTTCCAGTTTATGATT